TAGATATACATCATATATGCGTACCTGGTTTTAGGATAAATCGTTATCATAAAAATTTCAAACTCAAACGCTCAAAACATTTTTCCAATAATAACGCTTCAAATTTTTTCTATAACTATTTGAAGAAAAACTTATTGAAAACTTATAGTGTTAAATTTTTTAACCTTAGATATTAATACAAACCATTTTATGAATTTTGAACTACAAAATAGTTTGCAAATATTCATGGTTTTGACGAATTTTTGTCAATATTTGAACTTCAAATGCTAATAAAAGAAAATTGTGACTATGTATTCTTATAATTTTTTAATCACTATAAGAATAACTTATGAGAAACTTTGTATTAAAATTTCAAGTATTTTTATATGGCCAAAAAAAATTTATCGACACTTCAAAAAAAAATTTTAGTAAAATTGAAAATTTTAGTTGTCTATAAATATCTCAAAAAAAGTCAAAATATTTTGAAAATTAAATCATGTAAAGAAAATGCCAATATTAATAACTTGTAAAATTTCCAAGTATCTACTACATATACTTTTTGAATAATAACAAATATTTAAAATGGTTTGAGGATGAATCGTTATCGTTAAGCTATTTCGTAAAAATTTAAAATTCAAACGCACTTAATTTTTTTCCTATAATGATGCTTCGAGTTTTCTCTATAGCTACTTGAAGGAAAACTTATGAAAAACTTAGTGTTTTATTTTTAATTCTTAGTTATAAATACAAAAATTTTTATGATTTTTCAACTTCAAAATTACTTGCAAATTTTCGCATTTTCGAAAGATTTCGTAAAAATTTGAACTATAAACGCTTATAAAAAAAAAAAATGTGACAAACGATTTTTAATTTTTTTAGCTACAATCAGAATAACTCATAAAGAACCTTGTATTAAATTTTCAAGTTTTTTGGTGATACAAAATTTTTTTACTGACACTTCAAAAAAAAAAATTATCATAAAAATCGAAAATTTCAGTGGTCTATAAATAACTCAAAAAAGGTCAAATATTTTTGAAAATTAAACTGTATATAGATAACACTAACATACACATTTGGTGAAAATTTAATGTGTTTACAGTGATTAGCTTTTTAATTACAACCATATAAAAAAAATCGATTTGGTCGAAAATTGGTTTTGCGTAAAAATTTCCGTTTTCTGTCATTTTTTTTTTTTTTCTCGATTTTTTTGAAAACGGTTGGAAAATGTTTACTTTTGAACTGTATAATGCACCAAGGATATTCACTTTTATATCAGAAACCACCCCCAAAGTTTGAAATTGAAGCATTATTTCGACTAGTTATGCTGTACACAGACACAAAAAAATAAAAACACACACACATCATTATAAAATCAATATATATATAAGAACTATAATCTAACCTAAGATATATTTTACTTAAACCACATTAAAATGTGAAAAATTTGAAAATTCAAATAATACAATAATATTTAAAAATGTTATTATTTATATTTTATATGGAACAACTCTGTTTTCATAATAATACCCAAATGCAGTAGAGTAAATTTGGTGATGCAAATGTAGCATTATCTAAACAAATTTAAATGTTGTGGTGCAAGTCTATATTTCTGCCCCATTAGAAAATCATATAAATTTGTATAGGTACCTATAGTTTCCTTTTTAAAAAGTTCATACTTGCTTATTAAAAAAGTATCTATGAAGTTAAAACTGTCAAACAATCATTTTTTTATACTCATAATAAATAACAACTATAACAATAGGTAAACAATTTTCCGATGGGAATTTCCAAAGTTGAAGTATTGGTGAGTTTCAAATTAAAATATTTCTCTGTACCGCCAGAAAATGAGGTCAATTTACGTCACTGATAATACCTATTATTGTGTCAATAAAACACCGAGCCGCGGTTTGGCCACCCCTGTATCATGATGTACAAACTAATATAATAGCCAATAGGGATACCGACATTGTTGAAATGAACAAAAAATATAATGTAGCAGATGTAGCCCGCCTTAAGAGGGTCGCGAGCTGCACGCAGTATAGTGAAATAATTGATGGTATAAGAGCGAGTAAAACGTATGACAAAATTTATAGGATAGGGATTCGATAACATCATTGTCTTCTGTGGAATGCAGACCGTATCTGCAATAATATTTAATTTTTTGATTCTAGCTACATTTCATAATTTTCTATAAAAAAAATATATTTTTATTGTTTTTTCAATACGAAATTTGTTATTATAAAATATTTGTGAATTATAAAAAAATAATATCTGTGAGAATAACATCTATTTGTTTTTGAATTACAACAAAATGAGAAAAACGTTCCATGAGAAATTGAGAGAATATCTATTGTCACCGTAAAATATTGAACTACAAATTCTCAAATAAATTTAATGTGACTTTTTAGTTAATATTTTTTTTTCTGATAAAGATGAAAATCTTTGATTTAAAAAAATATATAAGAGTTTTTAATATAAATAATTTCCGGATTTCCATACTTCTTAAGTATTACGTTAAAATTTTAAATTCCATCTTTTAAAATTATGAAATGATGACTAGGTAAAAATAATCATAAATTCATGTGAGTATTATGACACCCTCCTTGATAAAATCTTGCGTACGTCACTACTTGTGTTTATGAGGAACAATTTATATTAATTTCATTTTTTGTATTTTGTTTTTCTCCGAGATGTAGGTTGGCTACCCTGAGTTCTGGTGTATGACCTTGTGTGTGAAAAGAGGGTGGACGTACTAACATAATATGTGTAGGCACTAGGCATGTGGTATGTGTATTGTTGAAACGGACAATAAATATATTATATATGGCAGGTGTTGTCAGATACACGAGAGCCGAGAGCAGTATAATGGAAAAAGTGTAAAAACCAAGAGTAGGAAAAAATGTTTCACAGTAATATCGTAAATAAGGTACGATAATATGAACCACATTAAAATAATATATTAACATATTATAATATCAGATTATATTTTTATGGAATAATTTTGTCTTAATAATATACTTGTTATTATGTTAGTAAAAAATATGTTCTCATCTCGAGCCCCGGTTTGGCCACCACTGTGTCCGATGTTTAAGATCTTGTATAAGAAAAGAGGGTGTATACACAACTAACATTATATATTTACCTACATGTATTGTTGGAAATATGGACAATAAATATTACATGACAGAGGTTGCCTGCTATAAGAGGGATGCAAGCTGTACAGTATTGTGAAAAAATGTACGATACAAACGCAAGGAAAAAAATGTTTCTCAATTTTCGTAAATAAAATAACGCGCTCTAAAATGTATAGAGTTCTAAACTAGTGAATGACGTAGTTTTTTTTAAATTTTTATTCTAGTTATAAGAATTTTAAAATGTACAAGCAATTAACAGGGTATTTAAAAATGCTCATTACTGTAAAATTTAAAAACCTATGCCATTCGCTAGATAATATTCTTAATTTTAGATTCCCATCAAAATTAAACAAGGTCAAATGAATTATTCAGAACGTACAATTTACCGTGTTTTGCGTTTGTATGCGGCAATGGTGTTCTCTTAATAATTTCGTGGACCAAAGCCCGTGGCCTGGTTTTTACGGTACGGCGAAATACAAACAATAATAATAATTTGGTTTTTACCCGCAACGCAAGTAATCAGTTAGGACTACGATTAGAGATGATATTGAAATAATTATAATAATATATGGGAACATAAGGCGCACATCACGTCACGGAAATTGAAATAGTTCGCAGCAGCAGCCTGTTGCTTAACCTAACACCAAACCGATTGCGTTCCCTAAAATATTTTGTGAATATTACGATTAGGATATACCTAATAAAGTACATAAATACTCCACTGCGCGATCAACGATTGCTACAGAATTGTTTTTAATAATTATTATTATCAAGAGTAATGATTATGGAGACGATTACATTATGATTATATTATTCRGATAATATTATCGTAAGGAATATATCATTGTTATTTTTTTTATCGTGATTAGGATATTGGCGGGAAAAAACGCGTCCGTCGTGGCGAACAACTTACTGGCGACGGCATATTATTATTATTATTATTAACATCGTACGACGATTCATGATTCGGCATCTYGACACCGCCGTGCCAGTGCATCGCATATTAACCGTCTGATGGTTTTAAGGTTATTCTACGTAATAATCACGTTTTTGCGGGACTGGTTACAAACTAACAAGAGCAACAACCAACGGCAATTGTTAAGCAGTTTGACGTTTGACGACTGTTAACTAATACCACCTCATGCAGTAGTTATTTTTTTTCTAATAGCAAAGAGTTTTTATATAGATTTATCGCTAAAACGATTTTAAATAAACTGTATTCTATCATAACATTCATAACAATAATTGTGAAATCAAATTATAAATTTCAAGCTCAAGAAAAGAAAAATATATACTGTGTTCGATTCAAATTTCATCTTCGGTATCGGTAAGTGACTAATAAAATATAAATAAATATTATTTAACTATGAACAGACGCTATTATTTGTAAAATTTCGGACCGCACACTTCATTTTACTGCTTTAAACTGAAATTTTATTCTCGCTACTGTACCTTAAAAAAAGCAATGTATTACCTAAAACAAAATTAAATAATATACTAGCTTAAAAATTAAAGGTATCATTATTATCTAGGTTATCAGATAGGCTTTTTAATATATTTTAAAGCAAGTAATAAGTATTTTTAAAATTGTAATTTGTATGTATATTTTAAATATTCTTAACTCGCTTTACAATTAAAATATAATAGAAATCCTCTGTGATAACCTAGAAAATTATGTTAACTTAAATCTTTATTAGAGGTCGACTCACTCTAAACTTTAAACAAATTGAGCTAAAGTGGAACTGCTGAGTGTAAAATTAATTATGTTACGCACATGTAAGACGGAAACAACACTTGCGGGTGTAGTGTCCTCTTATTAGTTTTTGTCTTTGTCTTACATTATATGGATCACTCGATATATATTTTTTCAGACTTGCCATTACAATCATGGACAGACCACGTTACGTAATTTACGGTGATCAGCCGTCGTCAAGCAATAATAGTACCAGCACGGTAGCATCATCAGGTTGGTGCAATTTATTATTATCAATATTGTATGTTTCAATATATTTTGTATTTTTAGTCAATTGCATTGAGCGTACTCCATGAGATATTTTAAATTTTAGATTATTTATTTGATTTATTGTATTGTTGTATATTTCAATATATTTTGTATTTATAGTCAATTTCATTGAGCATACTGTGTATTATTATTAGTTTTGTTATTATTACCTATTTGTATATACTGAATGCTCTGCAATTATTGCCCAACATCACATTAAATTGTTGTAATAAAACTTACAATCTATGAAGGTTTTGGATTTCTAATGCCTTTATGTATGTGTCAGTGTGACATTAGCTACTTTTATATTTTATATAATATTTATTAATTTTAATTATATACCTAATTTTGAAAATAAAGAACTGGATTCAAATTAATATTTTTTTTTTTTTTAGCAAAAATCTTCGGCTGTACAATTTGCAATCAAAGTTTAAAAGATTTTCCTGTCTCTACACGATGTGGACACTTATTTCACTTTAATTGTATTGCGCGTTATCTGTTTGGGTAAAGTATATACTTAAATACTGCTTAATATAAACTTATTGTTGGAAAAATAGAAAAAAAATTAAGTATTTTTGTTATTTTATTTTCAAAGGTCAGATTCAGAAACATGTCCAACTTGCAGGACCCCTGTATCAAGATTTAGTTTAATCAAACTTTTCCCCACTGAAGATGATAGGTTGTGCGTTAAAACCAAAGAAGAACTGGAATCGTTACAGTAAATAGTTTTATGCATAAAAAGAATATTGTATTAAAAATGAATTTTAATAATTTAATAATGATTAGATTATAAGTTATTTAATACTTTAATACGATTCTAAAACCTTGTTTTATAATTAGTGATTTTGGCTGTTGAATATATATCTGTAAGCAAACACATTATATACAACTATAGGTTTTTTGTGGTCTAAGTCAATTTATGTTTTTATTAGCCAATTTGAACAAGGCATACATTTGTTTCATTATTTCAACTTGGATGGCAATGTTAAGTTCTTATCTAAATCATAATAATTTTGATTAAAAACAAAACTTGTATAGATGTGTATCAATTTTGAATAAAAACTGTCAATATACCTAATTTAAAAGCTTTCAATTAAATTTAAAACAAATTTGTCGTCTATGTCTATTTACTGAAGTCTGACATGTTAATAAATCTTACAACATTTAAATTAAATTTGCACTATATTTATAGTATATAATGATTTATAAGAAATTAAAATTTCAGTTCTTAATTTGGTCATCTAATAAATGCAATAAATAAGGATTATTAAAAATCAAATGTACTAAAAACATAATGATTAAATAATAATTCATTACAGGACAAATGAACAACATAGGTATATAATGATTTTGATCCATAAAACAGAAACCCTAAAATAATAATTCTCAAATGTTAATWATTTATTTATTTAATAAGTATAAAATTTCTTTTCTAGGAATCAATTAAATACTGTTGGAATGTGTAATGTAGACTATAAAGACAGAGTTTATAATCTCACATTAAAACTGAATGCCATAGAGGAGGACTTACGGAAAAGCCGTAAAGCGGTTAGCGAAATTAATACTACATATCTAAATCACTATAATAGTTGTGTTAACAATATTGAAAGAGTAGATAAAGAGTAAGTAATCTTATATTTCTTATAGAATACAATTTTTAAGCTTCTATAATTTGTTACTTAATTAAATTAAATTTTTTTCTACAAAACAGTGCATTACTTTTCAAATACAACCAAGAGAAATCGACAAGAATATTATTACAAAAAGAATGTTATGAATACCATTCTAACGTTTTAGCTGAGCTTAAGTACTTAAATATGTTTTTATTAATTTTAGATATGTATATTTTGGTGTAAATTGAGTATTGACATTTTTAATTTTTTAATTTTTTTACTWATTAGGAAATTAAAAGTTGAAAGAGAAAATTTAAAATTGGAAAAAGATTATTTTCAAAAAAGATGTCGTGATCTTGAACTACCCAGTACATCTTCAAAGGTATATTTAATATTTCTTGTATGTATTATGTTCTCATATAATGATCAATTATAGTGTTATATAATTTATAATATATATGTTTTGCCTTAAATCTGAATTGAGAGTTTTTATAAGACAAACAAAAACAATTTATTAATATTCAAGTAACGTCTCCTAAATAGCTACCTATGTATTTCAAATTAACGGAAATTTAGTAAAACTATTTTATGTTATTTACTTATTTTGTTCATTTGAATTATTTTAGATGATTAATAGAAGAATAAGCACACTTCCACATCAAACACAGTCTCCGTTACAGCGTAAGATAATATATAAAAATATTAATATTAATATAAGCTTAATTCAATAAACTTAAATTATATTACTTTTATTATTATATCACATATTATTAAAATAGTAAGTGGCTGTGGTCTATTATATATTTATTTAGCAAATGTTATAAAATAGAATCCGCTTATTTTGATGCMATGTTTAATGATTTCAAATAAAATGATTCTCAGCATCATATGTGCAGTATGTTTTTGTTACTTGGATAATATAACAGTATGATTCTTTTAGTCCCTTGAAAATCGTTATACTTACACTAATTCTACTTTAATTAAACTAAGTAAAACTTAAATTAGTTAATTTTAATATAAAAATATATAATTGATGTAAAGTAAATAAGCTTTGTGTGAAATACATATTTTCTGTGCGATAAATCTATTATGGCTTATAATATTCAATTTCTAGACAAAATTAACAAAATTCACTAATTACGAAATTCAATTAATCGTAAAAATTTGAAATTCAAGTGGTAATAAAATTAATATTGTATACTAACAAACTTTTTTTTTAGTTGAAGGTAGAAAAACTTTTGGGGAATTTTTTATTAAAAATTTAAATGTTAGCTAAGCAAAGAAAATCTTGTATGAATTTCAAAATGAAAAATAGTTTGTACGTTTTTATAAATTTTGCTAACATTTTAACTCAAAATCAAAAAATATGTTTTTCAAAAAATGTTTTTTTTAATGAGACAAAAATTATTTACAGATTTGAAAATTTGTCATGGCTKTAAAGAGTTTCTGAAGAGTGCTAAATATTTTTAAAACTTCATACCTGCATTTGTTGAACATTTAAAGTATCTACGATTATTAGTTTTAAGTTAAAACTAAAAATSCAATTGATTTTTTTTAAAGTGGTTTCTCATAAAATTCCTATTTTTTATATAGTTTCTTTACAAATGTATAGCATACATAAATGCGTTACCTATTGTGCTAACTTTTCACTAATATTAACTTTTAAGTTTAATCTTCTATTACTGGGTGTAAAGTATATATCTCTTAATAGTTGATAAATTAATATACTATTATTAATATGTATTATTATTGTAATATTACAATAATGTATAATTTTTTTTAATTTTCAGCATCTTCTGATGGGTTTCTATCGAATTGTCATTTTTGGATTGTCGATGAGCTTAGAAAAGTGTCAGGTGCGACCAATCACCTGTACTTTAACGAACAGCGTGTTCTAGAGCATGGTGGAACTGTTGCATATCATTACACAAATATGGTTACACATGTAATTGGTATCTCCCAAAAAAATTCAGACGTTTTAAGAGTAAAAATAAATATATAAATATAATATTTTTATATCTTATATTAATATTAAAATAACTTGGCATCTTAATTTTTTAAGGGTTTAAAAGAACGTAAAAAATGCGCAACTGATTACTGGCTCAGTGATGTTATTGGTGAAAGAAAAATGATGAAACCTTGGTTACCTCATCATTTTCCAATACCATACAGGTAAAATATTTTTCGTTTTATTTGTATACTTACTAATGTGCAATTTAATGAAACTTTTCATGATACAAAATAATTTATGGAGCCATGACATTTTCATTCTAAAACGTTTCTATTTAACAATTATTAATTTTTTGATACTTTTCTCCAACAAATGTAAAAACTATTGTTATTCGTCATAATTTATCCTCAACAATAGTTTTAATTGTATGCTAACATACCAATTTTATTACCTTATATTATTATTATTTTTTATGTTAACATATTATGAAGTCTAACCTACTATAAAATCACTTGGCAACTAGCGATTACTAACGACTAGCGACATCATTAGTTTGTGTTGCATGTTGTATGTGTATTAAAAAGAGCCAGAATTTCAAAAAAAAAAATTAAGATGTGCAAAATTTAGTGCAAAAATGTTATTTGGAGTTAAGTAAAAATTTGTGTTGAAGTAAAAAAAAAATATAATTTCATKTTTACAGAATGGAATTTAACAGGTTTTTTTTTAAAGAACCATGAAATTTGTTCAGTATAGGTTTGAATATATATGTGTTTCTAGATACAGATATATTTGCACGGTCAATCTATATTTTCCTTAAGAGGAGGACATACACGCATGAGTTATCTCCGTCTTACAAATGTGTAACATTTACACTCAGCAGATCACACTCAGCTCCATTAATTTAAAAATTAAAGTGAATTGATCTCTTACAAAATTTAAAGTTAAAACTTAAAAACAATATCTGTGTTTGTATGTTGGGTTTTTATGGTACTTCAGTTTTTAATTCTGTTATGGACATTTTTATTTTACGCTATATAATACACGCTTAATTTGCAAAAAAACTTATGTATGTTGTTGTAAATAACCCCCACAAATAATATGCTTATCTTTAAATTTTATGAAGGTCAATTCACTTCAAATTTTTAACTAGCAGAGCTAAATGTGGTCTGGTGAATCTAAATTTGCTATGTTACGTACTAGTGAGATGGAGAAAACAGATAAGATATTGCGTTCTCTTAATTTAAAAACTTTAGTTCACTCACTTAAAATTCAATTTTGGTTATTTTTTACAAACAGTTTTACAATAAATGCAAATTTAGTCTATTATTTCATTATCTTAGGTTACTGATTAATTTTTTACACATGGTATTATGGTAGGTTCATTTAATTTTTGCCAAAAACATTGCATTTATAAACATTATTAATATTTGATTAATAAATATTTCAATACTATATAATATATTATACAATACTCTATTCAAATTAAGAAACATAATTGATAACGGAGTTTATATTAAAMGGCAAGTGTACAAAATTTGCCATGTTGACTTAAAAATATTGCTTCAAATGCTACCCAATAAAATTAGCTGTTATCAACAGTATTTTTGAGAGGATGTTATACTCGCATGCGTTGTCTCCGTCTTACAAGTGCGTAACATAACAAATTATACGCTCAATAGTTCCACTTTAGCTCCACTTCTTAAAATTTAGAGTGAATTGACCTCACGTAAAAATTAAAGGTAAAATTATTATTGAGGATTCTCATAGACTGTTTATTATATTTTAATTTCAAAGCAAGTTTTGAGTAATTTAAAGTATACAAACAATTTACAATTTTAAACACTCATAACTAGCTTTAAAATTAAAATATAATAAAAAGTCTTATAAAAGATTTCGGTAATAATGTTACCTTTAATTTTTTTTTTAAAGAGGTCAATTTAGTCTCAATTTTAAACTAACAGAGCTGAACGTGATCTGCTGAGCGTAAGATTTGCTAGGTTATGCACTTGTAAGACGGAGACAACACAGGCGAGTATAACGTCATCTTAACTTGATCAGTGTAGATGCTGGTTAAAGGTATTAAGAGAATAAAAGTAACCTCTTCAAAGTACTATTTAAATTTAATTTTAACAATATAGCAAATTATATAGCAATTTTTCCCAAAAATAATAAGAGATTTTAGGTATTATAAAAACTTTTCCTGCTTAATGCTCAATAAAAAAAAATCAATAAATAAGAAGAATTAAATATTTTATATAATTATGTTTCAGTGAGGATAATTTGCCGTATGAGAATAAAAAAATTGCTATTCTCAATTTTGATAAAAATGAATATTATAAAATAAAAGCAATGGCAGAGATTATTGGTGCAACAATCATCAATAAAATTTCATGCAATACTGACATTGTAATTACTGCTGAGTAAGAATTTATTATTATTATTATTTATTATTATTATTATATTTATACGCTTTAAAGTCATAATATTATATTATAATAGAAAGGTATTAAAAATAATATTCAATATATTTTAAAACAA